TGGTAAGTGGCTTACATATCCACTCTTTATTCTTCTTCAGAACTCTTGGGGAAATATTATCTGGCTCAGGAGCCTTATCATTTAAAAATTCCCAGTTTTTCTTAACCAGCTCACAATTAATGCAATCATCTATCAACTGTTCAAGATGTGGAGTACTGACTAAATCTTCACTATTAAAAAGTGAAGAAAAACAGAATTTAATACTGCCCAGCCATCTCATAATCTTTTACATGCAAGGGATACATCAGCTAACACTGACTTTCAGGAAGTTAGAAAGAGTAATAATAGAGAGGTCTATTTAGTTATAGATTATTATTTATACACCTATTGATACATCATATATTTAACCTCCCACACAAAAGAAATGTATGGAGAATTAGAATATTATTTTATCTCCTCCTCTGTCAGTTATATCCTTCACCTGTCTCCCTGGGTAGCATAATCTGATTATTTTCTCCTTATTTACCCCACAGACTATTCTATCCTCATGTCTTGTCAAGGAGTAACCTCTAACTATAACCTCCTTATCACCCACATACCTTCTCTGACACTTTTGTTTTTCTTTCCTTAAATAGTTCTTCGTCTGCAGAAACCAAGGGCTGAAATTTGTTGCTCAACAGAATCGACTCGTTATAACTAAATTCACTACTTTTTACTCTAATAAAGTATTATACGCTTTACGAAATCGTTAAAACTTATCAGTAACAAAATGGCGTATTGACCACAGTATATTGTCTCCTGAATATGTTATTGAAAAAAGAAAACACATTAAATAATGAATTTTAAAACAGCACAACCTCGTTCAGTGTCGTAAGTACGCCTCCACAATCGCGGGGGACTCGAAATGCCTGACAAACTTAAGAATTACCTACCGACAAAGGGAATAAATGTAAGGGGCCCAATTACTTTTCATGTGGGGGCATCTTTTCTAGTTACGCCATTGTACCCATCAGTAGCACAGTGGCATGTCTGCGGACTTATACCACTAAAAACCGGGTTTCGATACCTGTGGTGGGCAGAGAACAGATACCTTATTGTGTAGTTTTGCACTTAACAACAAACAAACCTCGTCGTCCAAAGATGATCACGATTGTGTCATATAGTTTATGTTTGCCATCATATTTCATCTTCCTTGCATTAAAAGTACTTACACTAGGACCGAACAAGGTCAGAAAACATCTGATGCCATCCTTAAGTTAAGAAATGACTCATCTTTATTGAAACGATGTTGTATCGGGCAAATAAAATTAACAAAAACCAGAAACTCCAACACATTTTGATAACTACACCGAGATAATTTAGTCGATTATGAAGTGCAGCGTGTTTATCATAACCCTAGATATAAACAATCTGATAATTCAATTATAACATTATATTATATAAACAACCGTCAAAGACCAATTATATCTTTGGTTTTAATTAACAACAATGATATCTATTTTCTATGCATCCTCTGACTTTTGAAACTTTAATTAATTAAATCATATTTTAGTTATAATAAAACAAATTGATACACTTTACACGTACTTCCTTTACGTCTGCTCCAATTGTTGAAAAGATGTTTGTTTCTATAGTTCCAGGACTGTAAAATATAAATAAGAACATTAATATGTTAAATATTGTTTACAAAATTTAAATTGTGATCCATATATGCAGTAAGAGATAAATGTGTAGTCTTGTGTGTGGCCGCGAACCATGAACCCTCAGGTCAGTGATGACAAGTATAAGAGGCTTAGCTTTCCCAAATAGGTGAAAAAAGATATCTCTTTCTTGACTGCCCAAAGAGCACCTCCCCCTTTAACACCTGTTGTGGATAAACAAATAGCCTCCCAAAATACAATGTCCCTTATGGAGCATAATTTTCTACAACTCAAAATATTATCAACTACAAGCAAAAATACCCGTCCCCAGTGATGGCAAAAGTTTAAGTTAATCTATCAATTTAAATTATTTCATCGACTATAAAAAAGGTTAATTATGTTGCACACTTGGTTCCACTCAGAGCCAAAACTTTGATCTACTTATACCACCCACCACGAAAAGTAATTGTTGAACATTTCAGTCATGTTAAGAGTCACTCAACAATAACATACGGTAAATCTACATTTATATTGTTTAAGTTACGTCACATTTTCAAATTCAAATCATAGTGTGATTAATTCCTAACAATTTATTGTAGAATATCCTGCTTGTGAAATAAAATTTGACATCAACATTATTCATGCCTGTTCTCCCGCCATTTCAAAAGTGAATATTGAGGTTTTCCTGCGTGCGCAGCTTTTCAAACGGGAGACAGACGAACGCTAGGACAGACACCACGGTTCGCAATTTATATAGAATATGTGACAGAATAGGCTACCGTAACAAAATATTCGCCACCTGTACCTCAGATTCACAGTCCAAGTATGATAAACGCTAAACTACGCCCAGTTTTAAATCAAACAAATTACAAATTAATATGTATCCGAAAGGCTTTTATAAATATAGTTTATACACAAATAAAAACACACTTACTTTACTGAATTCACTCTGACTTGTTTGGGAGCAAGATCTGGAAAAAGACAATTCAACGCGTGATAAATATCTGTTTTTCTTGTTTACGTTACACTGCTTTTCAAATAAACAATGTTACTAGCTTTTTTAAAAGTTTTTATATGAAACCATCATCTAAGATTAAGTTTCCTTCTCGGACTAACGACAAAAGCATTAGGAGTGCGTAATTATATTAACACAAAACAAAGGTCAAAGGTTAATAAATTGTGATTATTTTAAAGAATATTCACTCTTATTTTAGTAAATAATAATAATTAATAAATAATACTTAATCAATACTTAAGTAAAGTTTATAGTTATTATACAGTGTACTGATATTAATTAGTCAAGTAAACTTTATTTAGAGTAATCTGTTACACTTGTAATACAATGTACTAACATTACATTCGTGTATTTATGTTGAAGGAGGGATAAAACGTGCAACGGAAAAAACAAGATCTTTATGAACTGTTCATTAATAATAACGAAAAAAAAAAACAACATTTTTTTCAGTTAGTTGTCGGTCCGGCATGGCCAGGTGGTTAGGGAGCTCGACTCGCAATCTGCGGGTCGCGCGTTCGAAACACATTACGTAGGGCGTAATAATGTGATGGACAATCCCATTTTTCGTTGGTAAAAAAGTAGCGTAAGAGTTGGCGGTGGGTGGTGATGACTTCTAGACTTACACTGCTAAGTTAGGGACGGCTAGCGCATATAGCTCTCGTGTAGCTTTGTGCGAAATTGAAAACCAACAAACAGTCAGTTGTCATGGTTACATTAACAACAACCTTAATGACTGAAGTTCGAGAATTTACGTATTCTAGTAATAAAATTAAATGTAAAGTCCGAATAAAAATCATCTAAAGAAAACGAAGATTGAAATGTGTTTTCTTCTATAACATCAGTTCGTTTATTTTTAGGCTTAAGATTTTAATTAATTAAAGATGTTATAGAAACTAGTTGTGTTGGTAGCTCCTTCTGCCGACCGTATAAGGAACTATACTTCATTAATCCAAGATTCAAAAGCGGCACTTAAGAGTTTGGTTTCGATAAACTTGTATGAATAACGATCTGAAATCTACTGGTCAAAGTTGATGATAAAACAGAGGGAGCTGTATATAACTTAATCACTTAGAGAAAGGAATATATAACTCATGATGAAAATGAACAAATAAACAAAACCTTGCTTCAAAAATAACTCATAATTAATAAACAGTCCTAGCTTAGTTTTTGAAATATGAAAACATGTTTGGTTCTCAAGATTTCGTACATTTATTAATAAACTCACCTAATGCCACACTTCTGGTAAACTGATCTAAAGCGCCTTTAGACATGGTATAGGAAAGTAATGTTGCATCCTAGAAAAATTCGTCGAAATATATTTATTATAAATTAGATCCATAATGTCAAATTATGCTTATTGTCATAGTCAGAGAAAATAGTTTCGTTTCAGTAGACTTGAATAGAATTAAATACATCTGACCAAAGCTTTGAGTTAAGTTTTAACTACTCTAATTCTCTTATAGGATTATGACCGAAAGTGTCGCTAACAGTGAGTGTTCCAAATTATCTTATGACTAAAAACTCATGATAAATAACACCACGATCGAAAGGGGATGAAGTAAATTATAAGATAAAAATTAACGTGACAATAAGAGGTGAAACGGAAAATATATAACAAAAAATACCACTCCTTGACACATTTTAATTAAATTAAAAGCTACAATTTTTCACTTGGCTCTTCAATGTTAGAGTACTTACTCCCCTTTTGCCGAGAACGCTCGAAACGTTGATAATGGAGCCTTTACTTTCAATCAGGTGAGGAACAGCTAGCATCGTCAAACGATAGACAGCTCTTTGAAAACATAGAAGAAAAATAATTAAACATCTTTAAAACTAACTATTAAAGCAATAGATGGCGTCACTACAAAAAACAAATCAACGATCGGTCGGATTTCTCTACAGAATATTTATTGCCAAGCTATTTTACAACGATCATGGAAAGTTTCCAATAAGAAAAGTTGTAGATAATTTACAAATTACTAGAATCTCATCTTTAAATGTATTTCATTTATGAATATTTTCTATATTACTTGATATTTCATGTCCACTAATTCTACATTTTACTTTAAGACGAATTAATTAATAATGAATTCTATTGTAACGTACACATTGTTTTATTTTAATAAAGTAAATAATATTCCAACATATGAATCGTAACGAAATTTGTTCACAATAAACTAAAGGTTGAAAGTTCCAGAAGCTAGCCTTACAATATTTTCCTTATCTATATATCTAATATATGTGTAAAGTTCTTTCCTTATTTATATATAAAACTCAAAATCTCTCTGTTTGTTTGTTTGCTTGCTTGTTTGTCCGTCGCATTCACTGCGCAGGTCACACTTCCCTCACGTGAAGGCGCGCAAAACGACAATTTTTAGTTGATATACACGTCTATCATCTGCTAACCTAATCCGTAAGTTTAGAATATGGCGTTATAGACCTATTTAGTTAAAAATCGTTAACCATAAATGTACTAATACAATCATACACTTAACCTCACACACAAAAGAAATGTATGCAGAATCAAAATATCTTGTGTGAAAAAGCAAACAGTAGGCCTAGCTATTAACATAAACTTTTGCAGTCTGCCATCAAATAGACTACGTCAAAAGAGTAAGGTTTAAATTATAATACTTATTGTGTATAATGATATTAAAGTCAAGTCAGAGTAATTGGTACGGCGCTTGCATCAGGTGTAAGATGGGTTGACCTGGAAAATTATATTTTTATTACAATTAACTTATCCAGTTCAACATATCAGAAAATAAATAAAGACATAATTAATTCTAATACTTATATTTGTTACGTAGTGTAATAACAGTATTCTAATATTTTCTGCAATCCAGTTCATTCATCAAATATGTAAATCAATGTCTATGTATTACATGTGATATAAATATATTTTTCTTTACTTTAACCTTTAAGCCTAACTTAAGAATAACACCAAGATTGGTGTAAAATAGTTTGACAATATTTCACTAGATATATGTACTGTTTCAATTATTCGGAACTCTCGCTGTTAGCGACACTTTCGGTCGTAATCCCATATGAGCATGAACGTAGGTAAACTTAATTCAAAGCTTTTCTCAGATGTATTTGGTTCTATTGAAGTATCTATAAACGAAACCCGACATTTTGGTTTTCTAATTATAACCGCAATATTTCGTTCTGTAGATAAAATTTCTAATAAAACAATTTTGTTGAATTTTTCTAGTAGGCAACAGGCCTTTCCTATACCATGTCGAAAGGTGCTATAGACCAGTTTACGAGAAGTGTGATATTAGGTGAGCATATTAATAAATGTACGAAGCTCTCGGAACCAATCACGTGGCAGATAGAAACAAACTAAGGTTGTTCATTTGTCATGAGCTATTGTTACACTTACTAGTTCGTTTTTACATTAAATGTTAGTTTTCATTAAGCAAGACCAGTAGATTTACACCTATAAATTGTTATTTGGTACAAGTTTATACAAATAAAATTCAGTCTATAGTTTTACGTAGTATTTTTTACGTTAATAAGACAAAAAAGATATATTTTATCACGTGTTCAACTATCTTTAGATAATTCGTATTTTCCAGATCTTGCTCCCAAGCATGTCCGAGTGAACTCCGTAAAGTAAGCATGGTTTTTTGCCCTATCAATATAACTTATGTCGATAAGTATTTTTAGTGTATATGCTTTGAATGTTTTGATTTAGGGCTAAGTTTTAGGCTTGATTTAGGCTTAGCTATAAGAGTAATAAATAATCAAATCACAAAATTTGGTGTTCAGTATATCAGTACTCAATTCGTGCAGAAAGTTTTGATTTAGGGCTAAGTTTTAGGCTTACCTATAAGAGTAATAAATAATCAAATCACAAAATTTGGTGTTTAGTATATAAGTACAAAATTAGTGCAGAATGTTTTGTGTAGTTAGTTTTGCGATAAAATTGTATCAAAACAAAGTAACCCTGTTTTAATATTTCTTTTTCTAATTGATCAGTGATATTTTTGAGCTAACTTGAGAGTCTTCTAGAGCTTGAAAAGAACAATTATTTTGTGACGTTAGCTATCTCCTGCTAAATTATCAAAAGTTAAAATTAACACAAATTATGGATGCTTCACAAATTTTGGATTATCTTAATCCCAGTTGAACAAAACCATGATTATCAATGAGATATTGTATTAGTTAATCTGTATTGTTTGAATGAATACGTGGGTGGGAGTGGCTTATTGGTTACCGTATTAGTTACTGTTAGAAAGGTCTAAAGTTCGAGACGTGATGCAAGTTAACAAGTTCTACACTATCAGCTATGGGTGCGTTAGATAGTAGCAGTCAGTACCGTTTTACAGATGAACGGTTCGGACAGAGCCTTTGTGATGACGTTTACTGCTGGCTATGTGCCTTCAGTCTGGTCAGTATAATAAAATTAGAAAGTTATACCTGGCCATTTAACCTTTGTGCCCAACAAGATTCTATTCAGGTTGTAATTTCTATTTAGAGGGGCGTCTCAATGACTGTAGCTTCGCGTGAAATTAGTAGATTTCCTTACAGGGAGTTTAACTCCAGCTCCACCATCAGCAGAGGAAACATGTAGGTTGAGACAGGATAAAACCATGTAGGGAGTTTAACTCCAGGTCCATCATCAGGACAGGAAATATGTAGGTTGAGACAGGATAAAACACCACAGTAAGTTTAACTTGTTAACACTAAATTATAGGTTTATATAACCACGTAAAGAATCATTTTAAGGATCCCTTTCTGTATTTCAGGTTTTGTATATTTTGACAGCAACTGTGAACGTCATGAATATAAACAACAAATAACTACATATCAAACGGAATAATCAGCAACTAATGTTTTATTTTCTGCAAAAAGTTCATTACTGCAGAAACAAATAAGACATCTTAGAAGAGACGATTCTAGCGCCATCTATCACCAAGGTTTCTCCAGTTATAAACGAAGACTCGTCAGAAGCGAGAAAAGCGATTGCACTGGCGACCTCTTGTGGTTGTCCTCCTCGACCAAATGGCTGTGTTTCGGCTGCTTTTTTCATCACCTGTGATATAAACGTTTAAAGAAATTTCTAGTGTAGAAACAAAAATAAGTAACAAAGATCTAGTCAGTAAGTTGAATTTAACAATTTCACATTTTAATAATTTATCATTTTCTTTATCGAATGTAATTTTCATTTCAAACACTAGGTGGCAGAACATTCTAAGTGAGCCAATGAGAGTCTTCTCAATGCACAAATAAAATCTCTGCAACTAGGGTTAATGAACAACATAAAGAAAGTCTTAAAATATTATAATATTTTTCAAATAGTTTTATAATTTAGGAAATTGATAGCTTTGTGAAAAAGTAATTTGAGTCTGAGTTTACTTAACAGCACTATATTCATTTTTAGCAAACCTTGAATGTAATTTTAATGTTATGCACTAGATGGCTGCAACTTCTCTGCGATCGTATGAGAGTCTGTCAATGCATAAATAAATTATCTCCAATTCGATTTTAATTAAAACTTAAAGAAAGTTTTAAAATAAAATATTTTTTATCAAATAGGCAAATATTTTAAGTTAACAATTGCTTTCTGAACTAGAAATTTGGGTCTGAATTTACTTAACGCCATTTTCTTTTTTCGTAGCAAACGTTATATTAAGTTGTTTCTTTGCTCTAGATCTTTAGTGGGGCCGGGCCTGGCAGCTGTGTGGGCATGCGTGGTACTATACTTCATGGCCTAGGATCCGTATAGTGTCCTCCCTATTAATCCTCTGACCCTGGTCTTGGGTTATGATTGTGTGCACACACAGTGAGTTGGGGTGAAGGTGGAAAGCGTGGGTTCTGGAAATGAGCCCTTAACGTCGGTCCATCGCTCCGGGGTACGTGTACCGTCCAGGAGGAACCAGTCCATCTTCACTGGCCTCCAAAGTAATCCAAAAATAGACTTAAAACATTTATTTCATCGTTAAAAGTATAAAAACGTTAATTTTGGCTAAAAATACGTATTTTAGGGATATCCTTATCTGTCAATAGATGGCACAACCTTCATTTCTTTCATTAAAAAATATCATTTTCTGTTAGTAGTAAGATGATTTGTTTTTCAAACCATTATTTTTTCTGATTGACCATTGAAGGGCGTATCTGATGAAGGACTTGATTTAAACATTCCAGTTGTTGACTATAAATCTCTGCATTGACAGTTCACTGTAGATTGAGGAGTTCGAAATTAATTACTCCTTTGATGTCACACCAAATATAAATCATTACTTTCTGCAGATGATCTAATATATATTGCATGTACAAAAACATTGAATTTGGCTAAAAATAAGTATTTTACGACTTTCTTTATCTGTCAATATATGGCACGCCCTTCATTTTCTTCATGTAAAGTCTATTATCTTCTGCTTATTAAAGTGTAGTAAGTTAGTGATAACTTTTTAAACCACAATATCAACTCTCAATGTTTGTGTTTTCAGAGACCTTCTTAATATCCTTACTCCCACTACAGCCCACTCTTTGTTTAGATTATATCTCAGAAAATTAGTTTAGTTAGAGTCTTAACAAAATTAAGAAGAAGACCATGTAAAATGTTACTTCATATCAAAGTAGGACTCATTACTGATAGGTTTTTCGTGTTTGTTTTTCAAAATTAAACAACACAAGTATTGGAATTTTTGCAATGAACATTGCGTTAAGAATTAACCCTTAAAACAAGTCAACCTGAAATATCTTCGTGATTAGGCTTAATTTCATTCAGTCTGTTTGTAAACTTTTTACATATCGATATTGTAAAACTTTCGACCT